GACGCGCAGGCGAGGCTGAGGTCCCCACCACGTGTCCCGATGATATCTCAGCAACGTTTCCTTGGCACTCCTGGGAATTTCGTTGCCATCCGGTGTGAGGTTGAGATGCTAAAATCCAGCTGACCTGGGGCCATCTAGTCATGGTGGGCTTATACCTCCGCGGGCAGGGGCGGGACCAGGGCCAGCTGGACCGACCCGGGACTGAGGACGCAGGCGAGGCTGAGGTCCCCACCACGTGTCCCGATGATATCTCAGCAACGTTTCCTTGGCACTCCTGGGAATTTCGTTGCCATCCGGTGTGAGGTTGAGATGCTAAAATCCAGCTGACCTGGGGCCATCACTAGTCATGGCGACCCTGGCTCTGTCACCTGGTAAATGAGGTCGCTGTGACGCTCCACACGACAAGCGATTAGCCCAAGGTGATGGGCAAACAGGCGTCACCCTTACGCCCGAGGTCCTTCTCCTGCCCGCTCACGGAAGTTCCCCTCTTGGGCCTGCTTCTCGGCTCAGGAATCCGGGGCTCTGACTTCTGAGTCATCTGCCCAACGCTGCTTCCAACAGCGGCCTCAGTGTGGCCGTCAGCAAAATGGGACCACGAGACCTGGTCTGTCAGGGTCCCCGAGGCAGCTGCAGAGGCCCTGCAGCCGAAGGAGGCCAAAGCAGAGCAGGTTTGGGCACCGCCCCCCACCAGCCCCTGGACGGACGGCCTAGTGGTTCTGCCTCTCTGGGCAGAAGCTTCCGGTCAGACGGTGGCGATCTTACCTGCCGCCTTCCCACTTGGTGCGGCGGGAATCTGGAACGGGGAACTGGATGGTCCTGCAGCTGTGTTTCTGAGGGCGTCCGAACGTGTTCGGGAAGCAGGAACAGAGCGAACGGAGGAGGAAGGACCAGGACCCTCTTCTGAGGGCCGCCCCCCAGCTGGAACCCACCTCACCCTTCCAGAAGCTCTCAAGTCAGCCCCGGGCGGGGAAAGGGGAGCCACTTCCAGGCCCCACAGGAGAGCACGAGCCTGTGACCCTGAAGCCAGCAAGCACCATTAAGGACCCCGACTCTAGACAGACTTCTGGAGACTTACTCTGAAGCGCACAGCCCCATTTTTCCAAAGTGAGTCCCCCAGACCCGGCTTCTGTTCACCTCTTCTAGCCTGCAGGCTCTGGGTGATCCAGAACCAGAGACGAGTGTCACATGTCACGTTGCCCGCTGCGCTGGGGGAGGAGGAGAGACGGGACGCACACAGGAGGGCGGGGACGGGGGCTGGGCTGTGGTTCCGACGGGGTGGCTTGGTGTTTGGGTTGGGTGTGGGAGGAGACCTGGGGCTGAGGTTGGACTTGGGGTTGGTGTGGGTCGGTACTGGCCTCCGGGCCGGGTTTAGGTTTGGTTTGGGGTTCAGGTTGGTTTTATGTGAGCTCCATTAAAAATGCTTCAGCCACTGGTGCTCTAAGGACTCTCTGGCACATGGTAGGTGGCAATGGTTTTTGTTTTTTGGTTTCTTTAATGAATGAATGACTGTTTTGTTGTAAAACCGTGAAGCCAAAGCAACCGGCCATGTTCATTTCTCTGCGTGTTGTGGTAACTTGTGTGTGTGTCGTCCTGAGGGTGAACAAGCTGCTGAAACTTAACCCAGGCCCTAATTTTATATCCTTCTTCCAGCACAGAACGAGAGCCAAACCGAAGTGAGAGAGGAGAGGCTGTGCCTCCGGACAGGTGACCGAGGGCGGAGACATGGGATGGCGGGAGGGGTGGGACCGAGTCCGGGACTCCTCACAGAGGGGCTGCAGGGCTTGGAGGGGGAGAGGAGCTGCTCGAGGGAGCAGCGTGAGGGAGCCAGGCCTGGAAGCCCTAGACACAGAACCCACGCGATTCTGGGGTCTGAGGGACCCGTCACTGCAGTCTCATCAGAGGAGCTCAGGATAGCAACCAAGCGTTCTTTGTGATGCTGTTTGTCAGGCAAAGCACACTAAGGCAGGCCCGCGTGGGGTCCCAGCAGGCCGAGGCAGGAAGCCCGCTGCCATGACATCAGCCTGGGCTGCACAGTGAGTTCAAGGCCAGCCCGGACTACACAGCGAGACCCCGTCTCAACAAACAAACAAACAAACAAACACAAGAAAAGAGTATGAAGGCGGCCAAGTGGCTCCTCTGAGCCAGCCCCTCCTCCCCCCTCACTTCCTCCTCCCTCCGCCGTCCACCCCCACCCCTCTTCCTGCTCACGCCTCTCTCCCTGCACTTCCTGGTGGCCTCCATTCCCTTCCATTTTCCTGGAGCCCCCCACCAGCAAGGCCATCCTGCCCCCACCCTCCTGCTGTGTCCCCTCCGCACACCTGGCCTCTCAGCCCCATGGGCAGTGCGGACCGGGCCAGGCAGGGCAGAACGGAGGGGACAGCCAAGCAGGCAAGGTCACCATTCTCGTTCGTGGGGGACTGGGGAGCAGGGGACACAGCCGGGCCTGTTCCTGTCACAGGACAAGGTTCCTCCCATCTCTGGTGGGCGTTGGGAAGCCATGGGAGGGTTTGGAGCCAGAAGGGAGAATCAGACTCATGAGAACCTTTTATTTTCAGGGCTGGGGATTGGACCAGGGCCTTCACACTGAGCTGCATCTCCATCCCTTTGTTGTTATTTTTTCTTTTTCTTTTCTTTCTTTTTTTTTTTTTTTTTTT